TGTATCTGCCTTGTGTGAAACTTGTATGAAAAGCATACGAGAGTGAAAACAGATATAAGATCCCCTGAAAAATTATATAATGAAACTTGTATGTTTTGGATACTTACTAAAACAATATATGAAAGTAATGAGAAAGTGGCCACTTTCATGAGTAAATCATGTAAGTTTTTACTATTTCTTTTCCATATGTGATTCTTATTCTAGTGCAGAGCTGTCAAACATATTCCCTGACCTGAAGGTTTAATCCACCGAATAACTTTACAAAGTGTAAAAATTAAAGTTACACTGCTAACAATGCCAATTCAATGAAAACACTGCTTGTCCCGCTGCTGGACTGTACTAATATTACCAAGCAGGGAAGTAAATCCTCATTTCTTCTTCATTTGTGGGTTATAACAAAGTTAAACGCTATAGTTTTGTTTAATTACAAAAACTTACCTTTTGAAGCTTTTATGAAGTTGGATATAACGTTATAAAGTTTTATATTTTATACATGTAATCATAGTTAATTGACTTAATAGAAATATTGTTGGAATTGCAAATAGATATTGAATTGTATAAATATATAAACCATGCAATCTATTGCTAAGGAGAGAGTTTATTTTGACTGTTTCCAAAATAGGACCTTCAGACTGACTGGCCAATCAGACACAGTCTTCTCTGTGAAGAGTGGAAAACGCATACAGATTGTGTTCATTCCTCACAGCATTTGAAGCACGATGACACCTCCAACCTGTGCTTTGCATTTCATCTGTCTGTTCGTGGCAAATATGGGTAAGTTGTGCTTTGTACCTTCTTGTTCATTTTAACCTAAAACCAACATGTTTGCTTGTTGCATTCTTATGGTGGAAGATGCATATTTTGGATATATATTACATTTATTTTCACATTTATGTGATTTGTGTCCTCATTTTTTCTCCTCAGCTCATACAACGCTCTTGAAAAATACAGCATTGCATTTTAAACCAGCCCATGTTGGGGAAACTCTGACTTTTGAATGCCAATGTGAAGACAAATCAGCAGTGATGCTTTACTGGTATAAGCAAACTTTAGGAAATAGACCACAGCTGATGTCTACATACTACAAGCACAGTCGTAATGGTACTTTTCAGGATCCGTTCAACGATCCCCGTTTTTCACTGCTTACTGGAAACTTACTGAAGATATCAGATTTGAGAACTTCAGACTCAGCTACTTACTACTGCGTAATGAGCAATTTATATGACTTTAAATTTTGTGAAGGCACAATTATCAGTGTAAAGGGTTCAGATCAGAACATCCGAGCTTTAGTCTACCAGTTGTCATCTGAAACCCTACAGCCAGTGCACTCTATGGTTCTGAACTGTACAGTACAACCTGGGACCTGTGATGGAGAACACAGTGTTTACTGGTTCAGAAAGTCTGAAGCAAGTCTTCCAGGAATCATTTACACCAATGGAAGCAGGAACGATCCCTGTGAGAGGAAACCCAACACACAAAGTAGCACCTGTGTGTACAACTTGCCGATGAAGAGCCTGAATCTTTCTCAGCACTATTGCGCTGTGGCCTCATGTGGACACATACTGTATGGGAGTGGGACTGCAGTGAAGGGTAAGTAACTTTGTAGGATTAATTCCTTAAAGCATAAAAGTAGATCTAGATATAATATGTACAAATCATCAATAATAATGATTCTTCAAAAACATATTTTCCAACTAGCGCTGCTGGGAGCCTTTCTTATCTGACTCGCTGTCAAATCATCCCAGCTAAAAACAATGACAGCTCCCCAAAAAGTGGACAACTAAATAACTATTAAAAATGAATTGCGTAAGGATGCTGGAGAAACCAAAGGAAAACATGCAGGTTCAGGGAGAACATTTAAACCTTTCTGTTGCAGACAGAAAGGTTCCTGTTTATCAGCAGGTTTACATTTCTTGCTGTGAGGCATAACTGCTGACCACTTCACCGACTTGCTGCATCCATATTAGCTGGAGATAATGGTAAAATGCATTTTAATGGATACTTTGGAATTCTGTCCTATATCAGCCTAAAGTAAATTTCTTTAATTTGGTGTCTTTTTGTGATAATCATGATTAAGACCAACAATTTGCAACAACCACTATCAACCAGTAGAAACAGGCAT